CATTTCCATTTTACACTAAGGAACAAAATAGTATCCAACAGAACGACTTTGCATCTGTATAATAATAGGCTACCAATCGTAATTTCAAAAGCAGTTCTGTAAAAAAATAAATTATATATAGCCTATATATATATATAGGCTATATATAAATATATATTTTTATTCCAGGCTCTCACGCCACACCCCCGATTTCTCACGCTGAAGTGTCAACCCGGTTGGTCAAATTCCTGAAAGATATAGTTTATCTATAGATCTACCTGTTGAGCCACTCGTGATCGACTAGTTATACCGTAAATTAGTTAAAATATCCCGTAATCTATCTAGAGCGAGCGTGCATGCGAGACAGATATTGTGCTCCAAACCGTGCGCGCGCATGGCAGAGAGGTCTGTTCCCTACAACCTAGAGTTTTTAAAAACATGGTTTTAAGTAAAGTGTGATTTGCCAGGGGGGACTGGGATTTCCTTCTGGTCTAAACATCCCTGCTTCTGCTGAATTATTTTAATCCCCACACCCCTCCCTCCACAGCTAATCAATGCTATAGGCTACTTCACCAATATCAAATATATAAAATAGAGATATGCAACAGGCACGTTTAAACGACAAACAATAAAATCAAAACCAGCGTTTCAGTTGTTCATTAGTTCCAGTGGCCCTAATGCATGCACGGCTTTTCAAAATTTCACAAAGCGTGTTGTGATTATTTTGAATGAAATATTGAAGTTTATAATTAAGTGTTTTGGCATACCACGCCGAGTGGCCCTATGCATTTTTCTAAAGTCGGGTTTTATTCTGGCATGGTGAGTTAGTGTTCGACAAACGCTGCGGTGCGTTCATTTAGATTAATTTATTTATCTCATTATTACAGCTAAAATAACTTAATAGGCGACTCCGTAATTTTTTGGTCATACAGATAAGAGTACATCGTTCAAAACTGTAAACTTGTATTCATATTAGGCTAACGACAAAAACAGTATCTGTCCTCTCTGTCTCCGGGAACTGCACGTCACAAAAATGAACCGAAAGCCACTTCAGCTCAGTCACGATAAGAAATCGGCTATGTCTAAAGCCTTTAAATGTCTAAATATTTAGGCTAATAAATGTTATCTGATTATGTAGGCTAATCCATATGAAAACGAGAGGTACAGAGGATCTACTCAAACATGTAATGTAAGCGCTTCCCAATGAGAAAATGACAAGGGTGAAAATCTCGCTCTAATTAAATGTAGGCTAAATCGCCCTGAATTAAAATGTAAAAACAGATCAAATAATGTATTTGTCGAAATATTGTTTCATTTAAGTTCATAATTATTATATAAATGTTATTTAATTTAGCAGCATTACCACGAAGCACCGTGTTTCGATATTTATTTGAATAATACAAAATAAAATAAAAACTTAATTCACAAATTGCATGCCTGGTTGTAAGGATCCAAAGATCCCTGTAGACTTTAATATTGAGTTGAACATTTTGTTCATGACAACAAATTAACAAGCGTTTTTTTAAGATTATATTTAGTTTTGCTTGGAAAAAGCTGCCCCAAACCAGTTTTATTTCATCAATTATTGAAATAATGAAATATTTAGTAATAAACTTTTATGACAGAAATATCACTAGGCTACATGTAACTTAAATCATTTAATTCCTTCATTATCAACACTGTCTAGAATAGCGATTTAAGTGTGAATTGCTACTTCTCTTTGTGTTAAGTCAGCCTCAGACTCCGATAGCCTGTGGGGGGGTTGGAGGGACAGTTGCTGGCAGATCCTGCTGCTGCTGACTGTGTATAGTGTTAATGTTCCTCTTTCATATGGAGAGTGTCGGATAGCCAGCCTGATGAGCAGGCAAAATGATTGTAAGGATAAATCTGTGTCCAAATGTAGGCCCCATATCTTATTAAATTATAAATATTGTAGTTTATTTATTGTAGCCTATTTAAAGTTTTTTTCACACAAAATTTCAATTGAAGTTATTGTAAGGTGAATTCAACAAGGCATGCTGTGTCTTTGAAGCAACAATTAAAGGCTAAATAATTTTTTCGTGATTTGTATGGCTGACACGCAGAGACATATACAGTATTATCAGCTGTATGATGTGTTTTTACCCTGAAATGTTTAATTTCGAGAGAGACCCGGCGCGCGCAGCGAGGGAGACTAAATCAACTTGTTAAAAAGAGATCCAGCTCGAGAGAGGCAAAGAAAAACGCATGTTTTTAATTTTAATTATGTTTCTTTGGACAATTTTCGTTTTGTACTGTTTTAATTGTTAAATTTAGCTGTAATTTCTTTGGCAATACAAATTTAAAATGTCACAAGAATAAGATTAGCCTAGTGTTTCTTATTTTGCATCGCAAAAGAAATAAACTCTAAACCCGATGCAACCCATGTTTTAAATTTAAAAAAACTGTCCCGACACTTTATTTAAACCTTGAAATGTCCGCAATTGGTTTCAAACTTAAGTAATTTTAGTGTTCTTTTACATTACACAAAAATTTAGCAGACTAAAGACGAGCTTCTTCATTTTCATTTTCTGATGCAATCGGCTGACAATCTTCCTTCATCAGTTTTTGTCGTTTGTGCAGCGGCTGCGGTTCAACAGGAATGTAGCAAATTTATGTTGTAATGATAATCAAACAAAACTCTTGACTTTAAATAAGTAAACAGTTATAAACAGTTACCTATTTAAGCATGAAGGTGGTAAAATATCAACGCTGTAGGACAACATCGGTTAACATGTAGGCCTATGCTACATTGAGATTCGATCTCGGGTCGATTGAAGCTCCTCGAAGCTCGTGTTGATGCGTTGATCACTGAGCTACCTTCTGTACGCTGTTAAAGTTGTAAAGCCTTTTTGATGTAGCCTAAATGTTTTTATTGGAATGTTTTATGTTGAAATGTTTTCATTATTTATTCAATTACATTTCAGTAGCCTAATTTCAGTATTGTGATTATTAATTATTTTAACTACATTTCACTTGTTGAATTCATCTGCTACCAGCTTTCAATCGCTCTGAATCAGCCAGCAGATCTGCGGCAGCAGATTACGCATTAGAGAGAATAAACCGGAATAAACGAACTCTTTTCAGAGTCTATGATTGTAGCGCCTCTTAGCGGTAAAAGACAACAAATACACCACACATTTTACCGCCGCGGTGGAACGGCTGATGTGGGCATTGTCATGGCTTGCCTCGACATTTGCGTTTGAATAGCGCGCGTCCTCCCTGGGCGTGTCAGATTAACGCGTAATGAAGTGTAATGAGCTGGGAAAAAAAATACTGACAGCACTCTCTTTTCATACAGATTGCATAAATTGAGAATATTTCTTTTTTATATAAATTACTTCATTTAAAAGAAGAGAATTCAAGCTTCATAAAGAAAAATCTCTCGTGCCTGTGTGACAAGTAATCGCGGAGTTACAGTTAATCTTAGGGCGCGTTTCAGAATGGACTTCACTGACAGAGAGAACGCAGAACTCGCATCATGTTTGTTTTTCTTTATTTGGTGAAAAGCACAACACTTTGTTTTTATTGTGAGTATCCACAAAAAAAATAGAAACTTAACAGGATCTAATGATGTATAACACTTAAATGTAAGATCAAAATCAACCGAGTATTTTGAGTCTCTTTTGCACTGATAAGAAAAAAAGCGAGCAGATCACGTCGGCGTGATTGCCGACCCCAGAGGGTTAACCCATTGTTTCTTCAGAGGCTCGGATGAACTAAAAAAAATACTTGTGTGTTCATTTGTACATCCGAACACTGATCAACTGCCATGCTTCGCTCGTTTGCAAGCCATGATATCTCTCGAGGAAAAACTCAAATCGCGCTCGCGCGTTCGTACTTCCTAGCTCATTTTCTCATGGGCGAGCCAAATTCTCTGGGCGGGCAAAGAAGAGAAAGGGGAGGTTACCTTTCCTCCGTATGACGTCATACGGAGGAGATTCAAGATCAGCCCGTCTGAGCTTTCATTTTCTCAAAGACAGAGAAAGATAGCCAAAGCTCGGTTTACACCGATTGAAATTTCTAGCCACTGGGGGACCATATACAGGCTAGGGGAACTCATATTATTGTTAAAAAAAACTCAGAAAGTGAAAATTTCATGTCAGGGGACCTTTAAGGTTTCTTGGCTGTCGCTTTGCAACTCGAAGTTTCAGCTCCTTCCACAGATTTTCTATAGGATTAAGACCCGGAGACTGGCTAGGCCACTCCAAGACCTTAATGTGCTTCATCTTGAGCCACTCCTTTGTTGCCTTGGCGGTATGTTCTGGGTTATTGTCATGCTGGAAGACCCATCCACGACCAATCATTAGTGTTCTGGCTGAAGGAAGGAGGTTCTCGTCCAAGATTTTCCGGTGCATGGCCCCGTCAATCAGCCCCTCAATACGGTGAAGTCGTCCTGTACCCTTAGCAGAGAAACAGCCCCAGAGTTTTGAGCCTTATGTTTCCACCTCCGCGCTTGACTGTAGGGATGGTGTTCTTGGGGTCATAGTCAGCATTTCTCTTCCTCCAAACACGACGAGTTGAGTTGATGCCAAAGAGCTAAATTTTGGTCTCATCTGACCACAGCACTTTCTCCCAAGCCTTCTCTCATTCATTAGATGTTCATTGGCAAACTTCAGACGGGCTTGTACATGTGCAGATGTGCTTGTACATGTGCGGGTGCTGCGGGATTTCAATCCATTGCGGCGTGGTGTGTTACCAATGGTTTGCTTGGATTTTTTGGTAGATATTCTGTCTCTATCCGTTAAAATAAACCTACCATAAAAAATTATACACCCTTAATTTTTTTAATTTTTTAAAGCAAAACTTACAAAATCATCAGGGGATCAAATAATTATTTTCTCCACTGTATGTAATTCTCTTCCCCAATCCCTCTGGGACATCTATTTATGATTTCAAGAGAGAACTGAAAAACCACCTTTTTCTTAAATGCTATTCTTATCTAAAATAAAATAAACATTATTATTTATTATTATTATTTTACAGTATGAATGAGTACTGACCAGTTCCTGTTGGGTTATATGTGGAAGCAGTCTCTGCAGCATGTCAATGTAAAGTGAGCGCTGGTTCCTCAGACTTGGGGAATACTGGCTCATTATGTGCTGGAAACACTCATGATCTGCTGCATTCCAGCCACAATTCCTGAGACAAAAACACACACAGTAAAAAATGACCCTTCTCAGATAATACTTCCTAGACTACACAGGTTAAAGTCCATACTATGGATGCTTACTTCTGCCTCAGAGTAAAATAAATAAATAAAATACAATTAATAATAATAACAGAATAAAAAGGTAATTGCAACATTCTTTTTGTAATTGTGAATTTACATTTCAAAATATTACTTTATATTTGTCATGATTCTTGTCTTGTGTTCCCCTTGTCTTGTGCGGACTTTTATTATTTCCTGTTTTGTGCCATGTTTCTGTAGTCCTTTGTATTTTTTCCTGTTGATTAGTTCATGATTGTTCCCAGGCTTCACTTGTTACTTTGTCAGTTGTTGTACATGTAATGGTTGCCTCTGTCTCTGTGATCCCCCTGGTGTTGTTCCTTTGTTCTTCGAGTTCTGTATTTGCTGTTTTATGTTACTTTATTAAATAACCCTGCGTTTAGATCCTCGTCTTTGCCTGCTTTCCTCAAATCGTTACAATATCTCACGATTTAACTTCATATTTACCAGTGACTTGATGTCTCATAATAATTATTCTCAAAATTATTCTCAAAATATTGTCTTGTGTTTGCAAATTCCTTCTCTCTACATCTCACAATGTAACTTTTCCTCACAATTACCTATTTCATTTCTTACTCTGACGTTTTATATCATATGACTGGTGTACTATATACAAAGTCTTCTGAGAGAGTTTTGTGAGTAACAGGCATTAAATTATTTATTTGTCATTTCCCACCACCATACCTAATCTAATGCTGTGATTGGTCATTTGATAGATGAGAATCAATGGCATTTGGTACATTTGATGTCAAACTTGGTGTGACATCTTAATGTGTATATATACACAACCACAAATAAGATTTGAGATGTGTGGCAGAGGAGAAGATTATCAATGATTAACAATTTAAAAGTCAGTCTGTTGACTTGAACAATTTACGTACCACTGTTTTGTCCTTTTGGGAACTTACCAACATTTCATGGTCGACATTCACTGTATGGAAAAGAGCAGCATAAGCATTCTTCAGAATTCATATTTTTGTGCTCCATGGAAAGAAGTCATACGGTTTGGATCCTTGCCTGCTGTTGACATTGACTCTGACTCACTCTTGGTGCCTTCATTACGGTTTGAACTGTCATTCTGGCTCTGACCCTCACCTACCCTTTCACAATTTCTGTAATTTTTTATTTATTTTTTTATTTTTTATTTATTTGACAGGGACAATGCAAACAAACATCGTGTCAAAACAAAGCTTGTCACTGAAGTGCTGCATATAAAGTTTATAGCAAATGCTAGTTTTCAACTCCTGTCCCTGGTTGGGCTTTTATACACAATAAAATGTACATACTTCACTACTTCAATTTAATTTAATTATTTAAGATTTGAGAAGAGTAGCCATACTCCTGTAAATAGCATTAGTGATATGAAGCCTTCTGGTGTTTTTAAAAGAAAAGTTGCTGATTGATGCTAATCAGATCAACTACTACTTTAAACACATTTGTCCTAAGAAATCGGCAGGCCCTGATGGAATTTCAGCCTACATTTTAAAAAAAACTTTGCAGATGAACTACTCGGTTACTATCGTAACCTCAGTTCCCTGAGAGAGGGAACGAGTATTGCGTAGCTATACGCAGTGGGGAAACTCCTTTTCCTCGATTTACTGAAACCTATATGTAAAACGCATTTGCAGCTGCACAGCTAGCACACTGAGCGTCTGGCACGCTCATAGGCTGTGCTGCCGCAACTGCACAACCAATGGCGCGGGCGACTCTGACATACAGCCAATGAGCTAGCTCAACGTCAGAGCCCGTCAAGGGGGTGTGGTTTAGCCTATAAAAGACCCCCGAATTCGCCATTATAGCAGGTTTATCCGACTGAAGCGACAACTTCACCCGTTACTAAGTGCGGCCGGCTACGCAATACTCGTTCCCTCTCTCAGGGAACTGAGGTTACGATAGTAACCGAGTAGTTCCCTTTCGAACGGTCACTTCGTATTGCGTAGCTATACGCAGTGGGGACGCCCTGTAAAACGCCGCACCCTTAGTAACTGGTTGCACTGCAACTCAGGCCCCCTGAGCTAACAGAACAAGCCAGAACCCAATATAAGAATATATATATATAACAGACCAGACACTGTCAGGCCTGAATAATATATAAGAGTCAGTAACAACCAACAGAATATACTAACAAACCCCGACACTGTCAGGATTATTAGTACAATTCATAACCAGCCTAAGCGGGTTTTATATATGTATGTATGTGATTATGCACAGTAATTTTTTGTAGACAAGACCAGACAGCATCGAGTCTTAATCATACTGAAAGAACCTTCGCCTGCAGGGAAGGCACCTCCATATTATAGAACTTCATAAATGTGGAAGGCGAGGACCAGCCGGCCGCCTCACAAATATCTTGAATGGGAAACCCAGATGACCAAGCCCATGACGAGGCCATGCCTCTAGTCGAATGGGCCCTGACACCTATAGGGCAAACCTGACCCACTGAAGTATAAGCCATAGAAATGGCATCCACTATCCATCTAGACAGTCTTTGTTTGGTAACTGGACCACCCTTAGATCGGCCACCAAAGCAGACAAACAGCTGTTCTGACTGTCTAAAAGACGCAGAACGCTCCAGATAGACTCTCAGCGCCCTGACAGGGCAGAGAAGATTAACCTCCCCATCCTCGGCAGAAGGGGGAAGGGCTAATAGCGTGATAACTTGCGCTCTAAACGGCGTTGAGAGCACCTTGGGTACGTAACCATGCCTGGGTTTGAGAATGACTCTGGAGTCATCCGCTCCAAACTCCAAACATGCCGGACTCACAGAAAGGGCCTGCAGATCTCCCACTCGCTTGATAGATGCCAATGCCAACAGGAGAGCAGTCTTGAGCGAGAGTGGTTTTAGACCCACCGACCGGAGCGGTTCAAAAGGCGGCCCCTTCAGGGCCCTGAGGACCGTGGAGAGGTCCCAGGGAGGTACTGATGGGGGCCTGGAGGGGTTAATTCTCCTAGCGCCCTTCAGAAATCTTACTACCAGGTCATTTCTTCCCAGTGATTGACCAGCCACCAACGCATGATGCGCTGCGATGGCTGCCACATAAACTTTGAGCGTGGACGGGGTGCGGCCCGCGTCCAGTAGCTTCTGCAGGAAGGAGAGTACCACCGATAACTCACATGACTCTGGGTCAACTCGATTTTTCGAGCACCAGCTGGAAAAACCCGACCACTTCAAAGCATACAGACGCCTAGTAGACGGGGCCCTTGCTTCAGAGATAGTGCCTAAGACCTTGTCAGGAAGGCCCCCGGGTACCCGTTTAGGGGCCACACATGGAGGGCCCATAAATCGGGTCGGGGGTGCCATATCGTCCCTTTGGCCTGTGTGAGGAGGTCCCTCCTCATTGGAACGGGCCAGGGGACCGTGTCTGACAGCTGAACCAGCTCCGGAAACCATGGTCTGGATTTCCAGAGAGGAGCCACCAGAAGGACTGGGCATCCGCTCTCCCTGACCCGTTCGATGACTTGTGGGACCATCGAGATGGGGGGGAAAGCATAAAGGGGGCGGTTGGGCCAGGGATGGGCCAGCGCGTCCCTGTTCTTCGAGAAAAACACCCTGCAGTGGGTGTTGGCTCTCGAGGCGAAAAGGTCGATTTCGGCCTCGCCGAATCTCTCCCATATCAGACTGACCGTCTGAGGGTTCAGAGACCACTCGCTTAGGGGAGTGTTGCCCCGTGAGAGCATATCCGCGCCCAGATTTTGGACTCCCGGGATGTGCGCTGCTCTCAGGGAGCTCAGGTTGGCCTGTGCCCATAGGAGGAGGTCCCTCGCCATAGCATACAGGTTGCCCGACCTGATGCCACCCTGGCGATTTATGTAGGCCACCACTGACATGTTGTCCGTACGGACCAGGACATGGTGACCCCTGAGGTTTAACAGAAATGCTTTCAGGGCCAAACCAACTGCTTTCATTTCCAGACAGTTGATATGTAAGCTCTGCTCCGTGCTCGACCAGAGGCCGGAGGCAGGCTTGCCCTCGTGCAGCGCTCCCCAACCCAGGTTGGATGCGTCTGTAAAAACCACCTTCCTCCTGGAAACTACCCCCATGGTCACCCCCTTGTGGTACCAGTCCTGAGCCCGCCAGGGAATCAGTGCTCTTAAACACCCGTGATTCACCATAATGCGCAGGCTGCCTGACTGCCATGCATGGGTTGGCACACGGCGTTTCAGCCAGTGCTGCAGCGGGCGCATGCGCAGTAATCCCATGTGGAGTACTGATGATGCGGCTGCCATTAGACCAAGCAGTTTCTGAAAAGCTCCTGAGTGAGCCGCGCTTTCATTGTCACCGAGTCTAAAACCGTTCCCAGAAAGACCACAGTCTGGCTGGGGTTCAGTTCGCTTTTGGCAACATTGATTGTGAGACCCAGGCATTTTAAATGGCCGAGAATCAAATCCCTGTGAACTATTAGTTCGTCTCTCGACTGCGCTAGCACCAGCCAGTCGTCGAGATAATTCAGCACACGCACACCCTGGCTTTTTAGCGGGGAAAGCGCTGCATCCATACATTTCGTGAATGTACGGGGTGCCAGACACAGACCGAACGGCAGAACGGTGTATTGATATGCCCTCCCCTCGAAGGCGAATCTCAAGAATGGCCTGTGACGAGGGTCGATCTGAATATGAAAGTATGCATCTTTCAGATCCATTGAAACAAACCAATCCCCCGGGCGAACTTGCGCGAGAATTTGTTTGAGTGTTAACATTCTGAACGGCCGTCTCATGAGAGCCCTGTTCAAACGTCTCAGATCTAGTATGGGTCTGAGCCCGCCGTCTTTCTTTGGAATTAGAAAATAGCGGCTGTAAAACCCCGAATACATTAGCGCGGGAGGGACTGACTCTATCGCTCCTTTTGCTAATAAATTCTGAACTTCGGTGCGAAGCACGTGACCCACGCCGCTTCTCACCGATGTCTCGATAA